AAGCAGCATGGTTTCACACGTATGTAGGGGTGCGATAGGGGTGCGATACGTACTCGTCGGTGAGGGAACAGCTCAGGCGGGGCGATTCGCAACGAGCAGCCTTCTTTGCCTCTTCGCCACTGAAGGACGAATCGAGTTGAAGCAGTTCTCAATGAACAGCTGCTGGCATGCACGAACGTCAACCCTGTTGGACCAATTGATTCCAGCCGGAAGACTCCCTCCCCTGTGGAACCTGTCCCTCGAGCATGCCATTCATCGCCCTGTTCGCCCACTCCTATTCGCAGGCACGGTTGCATCCTACCTCTTCCCCCCCCTCCTCCTCCTCCTCCTCCCCCTGCTGCTGCTGCCGCTGTTCCTCCTCCCATCACCCTACCTCCACCCAGGGAAGGCTCAATTAATGCCGATAATTCCTTTGCGAAAGTTCTTGCTCTCCAGAGCCTGCGCAAATCACCTACCATCTGCTCGACAGCATCGTCCGTCACACGCGTGTACGAAATTCTGAGCCCCTTTGGAGTGCAGACCATGCGTGTGTCCGTTGCCAGTGGGGGAAGATACCTTACCCCAGTCACTACTTTGCCTGCCCCCATACTTGCAGCTCCTACTCCTGCTCCCTCCCGCTCTCTACGCTCTACATCCCACAGCTCCCCATAATAGGGGTCAGGGATAAATACACCCCAGCATTCAACGTCTCGGCCGGGGCATATCAGGACTAAGGAGCACCAGGGTTGAGGGGAATCTGGTCTATTACTCTCTCTCTGTCTTTCCGAGTTCTTCTGGCTCGGTGTAAGGCCACCACCATCTGGGACATGGCTCGACGACGCAGGAGACACGCCCATCCTTTGTTGGCTGACTCTGCTATTCACATCCGTGGCACTCGTACGATTACCACGGCTGCTCACCATCGTTGCCTGCGTGGTCGGCAGAGGAACTTTGAACCGGAGATTTCCCGACGGTTTCCTGATCCCTATTTCCTCAGCATAAGGAATGTTCAATGCTCGGAGCTGTCGCATCAGCCTGTCGAGCTTGACCCATACCCAGCATCTTCTCGAAACTTCCGTCAAAACAGCAGCATACACAGCCAATCCTGCTTGGCCCTGATTCGCCATCTTGATAAGCTTTTCATAGGTCTCACTAGCACCTCTCATCCTCCTTCTATCCTCAATCCCATTCCAGAACCCGGAAACCCTCCTCATGTTTCTCCTTCCAAATTCCGATCTCTCGCCATCCTCGTCATCCATATCGCGCGAATCCATCCTCTTCCTCTTCCGTCCTGCTCCCAGAGGAGTACGTTCCCCTGCACTCGCTGACCTTGCCTGCTGCGCAAGATAAGCGGGAGACAATGTGCCTCGTTGCGGCATGACCTGAGGTGCTGACGGCACATCATGCGCTGCTGAGGGGGATTGCATGCCGCCTCTGTCCACGGCTGGTGGCGAGAGGGGTGAAGTCCTAGGGCTGCCTCGTGCGCTCGCAAGCCCACCATAGCCACCGCCTCCGATCGCAACTCCGCTGTTCCCTGATGTCGTCACCCCGCCCAACACCTTTCCTCCTAAGGGCAATGAGCCCGTCAACGAGCTGCCGGCATTCCCATGATCACCTAAGGCAACCGGATGGTGGGGTGACCCTGTCGTCATCAGATGGCCACCATGTGGCGGCGAGGCAGAGGGCGAGCGCATGACCAGCTGTGGCATGCCCGCAGCTGCAGACTGGGGGGAGAATGCATCGCCTTTTATACCTCCACCACTAGGTGAGCTGGCAGCATTCCCCATGCTTGGCCTTGCCCCTACCAGCTTGGTTGATCCGGGACCCATCCCGAGGCCACCACCAAGCCTGGCCTCACCGCCGACACCTCCTGGGAACGCACTTCCACCGTTCATGGCTCTACCCCGTAGACCTGCAGGGACGGCAGCTGGAGGTGACATCACTGCCCCACTCGTCGCAGGGCCACTTGCACTGAAAGGGGAAGCAGTCCCTGCAACAGGAGCGGTGTGGCTTGGCACCCTGTCGCTGGGTGGGCGAAAAACGTTATGCTGGTCGCCTGCCCCAGACCTGTCAGGAGTGCCTGCTCCTGACCTGCAACCCACCCCAAGGCCCGAGCTCCCAGCAGGACTACCCACCCCAATCACTGGACTACGGAGACGTCCCGGACTGGTCAACATTCCCACCAACCGGCCCTCCATTCCCAATACGCCTCCGGTGAAACCATCCGGGCCCACCACACTTGCATTCAGTCGCCTCCGTTTCACGTCCACCGGCCCGTTCAGCAACGGGGATTCCGACGAAACATGGCCACCTCCTACCGATTGATCTACCCTTCCGTGTTTCCTGGAGGGGTGGCTTGGCCCGTCCCTGTTGCTCAGTTGCGGACTGGTCATTGTCGTTTCCTCCCCTTCTTCGACCCCACTCCCTTCATTCTCCCACATTCCCCATTGCCCCATTACATAAGCTCCAAGATCATCTTCGGCGAGAGGGACAGACGCCACGTCGATCCGCATCCAACGGTCCACTTTCCGGATGCTGCTCGTGATCGAGGGCCCAGCTGCTTCCTCGGAAGCCTCGCTTGTGTCCACATGCAGGAGGACGAATGATGGAATGAACTGTGCATCGAGCTGCACCGCCAGCATGTACTCTCCGCGGCATCGGGGAAACCCTAGAACCAAAGTATGTGGGCCGAGCTTGAGACCCTCTGCAGGCATTCGTACAGCACTCGGTCCACGATCGAACGGCTGCAAAAGCACCAAAGATCGCATCCAAACGCACGTCGTTTGCAGCGATAAAGTTGGTTCCACATTTGGCAACAATTCAACGACCCCATGCATGCCATCCATCAAACCGAAAACAGACAGATGGATACAAAAAGCAGGAACACAGGCACAACATCAGTTCATTCAGGAAATCACTGTATGAAGTTAATCTCGCTCAACTTCTGTTTTATTTAGATCAGTGGCTATTTGATGGAGTGGTAAATTTGACTGGAATCTCTACTCTGTTAGGTAGTCAAAGCTTAAAATATAAAGAAAGTGGTAGAGTGTCATCCTATTTATTCGGAATTCTCATAGGTGCTACTGTTTTCTTCTTTTTCTTACCTTTACAAAATTTTCAGATAGCTTCGAATTGAGATCTTTGTGATGTATAAATAGATTGATTAGAGTAGTAGTATGAACCCTAAACCCTGCAACAGGACAATGGTTTAGGGTTTACAGTTTACGAATTACTAAGGTAACATCAGATCCAAGGTCCAAGTGCAGTCATACCGAACCGTCGAGGCGGAGCACAGAATCATAAGCTTGCTGGAGTGTAATCGCATCAGTCAGAGACATCATGCGCAGATGCAAAGCCAACCATTGAAAAAAAAAAAAAAAGAAAAAAAAAAAGGATCCCAAGGCCGTTTTCGTTTTTAATCGGGAGACAGAAAAACCATTGTCGGTCTCATCTTTACAGAAGGGCTCACGCGTGTCCGATCACGTACGACCACTGTCTTCCCCCAAACATAAAACATGTGTTGTAAACGAATACAACGCATAGATTGCTTTCTATTCGAATCCACGGCATACGAGTTCTATTCGAACACTCGAATACAATGCATATGTGTTATGTTCGGCAGAAGATGGTAGTGTCCCGTGTGCTCACGATTACTGCCACACATTGAGGGGCTGCAGCCAATGTAACTTTGCGCAGGGACTTCCCCGTATAAGAAGAAACAAAAGAGCCACAGCCAATCGACCATGGGTCTATTGGAATCCACAGACCTCCAAGCAAAGTTCATTTTTTATAATCGTTTTCTGAATTGTTAATAAACAGGTCAAGAGTTCGAATACTGGGGAACCGGACGGCTAGAATAAGGTCAAGGGCTTACTCCAAAAAAGTAGAAGCATAAGGAGTCAGCCCGACCGGTAGGCGTGCCTACAGCCTACAGTAGGCATCGTCTGTAGGCACCCAGACTACCCTGTTCACAATGCATATGCCTTATGTTCGCGGGAAGGCCGTAGTGACACGATTTCTTGCCAGTAGATTAATAAGTAATAATTTGGGTTCGATCATTAGGTTCCGCTGCATTGTTGCACCCCCCGACGGTCAGCGGCCCTTGACTGGTCGGCTGCCGACCCGCCAACCGATCGGCTGGTCGGCACCTACCGGTCGGTGGTCATCGGAACCCCGCGAAAAAAAAAAAAAAAAAAAAAAAAAA